CCAAAATATCTTTTGATCATGGGCACTGGTCTTTCAATTCATCATGTCCCTGCAGCATGAAACCACTGAACACATAGGTCAGTAATAAGAATCAAAGCTCTGACACAAGTATAAAAATGAACTGGATCTAGTTTTAACAGAGCATCTTGTAGTATGTTTAGCAATTATTTTCAGTGAAGATAACTTTACTGCTTTATCCTTTTCTGATTTTTTTTCAAAAATTAACTTTTTTTGGACTAAGTAGTGAAATTGCATTAATATTTTATATCTCTCATATTTACAATAATTCCTCCTTGAAGCTCTCACTTATCTTTTCCTTCTCAGAGCTTTGGTTACAGATGGAAGAGTAGATATTTATGTTGAAACTTCCAGAACGCCTATTTTTCCATTTCCATTTCAAATGGCAAAACTACTATTTGATAGATGATTTGGTTTTGATAATGGTGATTCCAACCCAAATCCAGTGATGAAAAGCAAAATAGCAGATTAGCCATTTAGTCAGGCCATCTCTTGACTGCAATGATCTGCAGTGATCTGTCAAAGGAGGGTCATTACCTAAGCTTGACCACAAGAGAGAATTTCCAATGCATTATGCAATGTGAGGAATAGACTTGTATATGACAAGGAGCTTATAATTCTAGTATCTATTAGCATCTAAAGTTTCCCTTAGTATGGAACTAACATATGATAGGCAGAGTGGAGAGGAAGAAAGAAACTGGGTTTTAGTAATAAAAATTAGAGTCTATATCAAGCTTTCCCTTAAGCTTCCACTCTGGGATTCTGGGATTTTTTTTTTAAAAAGAATGGTAAGTCAGCATTTATTTAAAATGATAGGGGCATCATGATTGGTGTAGGAACCACTGCAATAGGGTCTTGCAGTGAAAAAGTGAGATTTGATTGAGCTCTGATGCCAAAAGGGCCAAGTGGTGATTAATATTCAAGGAGCAGGGTGGGCTCCGTAGATGGAAAATTACTAAGAGAAAACATCAGGGTCAGCCGGTTGGCTCAGTTGGTTAGAGCGTGCCTTCTGAACAACAAGGTTTTCAGTTTGATTCCCACATGGGCCTGCGAGCTGCACCCTCCACAACTAGATTGAACGACAACAACTTGGAGCTGATGGGTCCTGGAAAAACACACTGTTCCCCAATTAAAAATTAAAAAGACACTAAACAGGATTTTTGTTACACTAGCTAACAGAATTCTTTCTGAAGCCACAACAGGGTGATAGGATGTCTAGAGTGGTCACATACCAAGAATGGAGGATTTCACTAAATGGACTTGGTGTGATTCTTACCTAAACTGGATTTTCCATGGACAAAGAGACAAGCCCAAGATCAGGCCTAGTCCAGCAGAGGGTCTTTGTCAATCACCCTTCTTGTTCAATGAAAGAAGAGACATTCCTCTTTCCTTTGAATAATATGAAGATCCACTTCTCATCTGGTTTTTCTTTTGCTCATTAAGGGCCAGCTGAACTATTTTTTGGGATTTGGTTGTAGAGGATATTTCCTGGATGCTTCAAGTAGTTAGGCTTTTAATTAGGGGGACTTCTATGTAAATAAAAAGAAAGATAAAAATAAATGGAGCAAAAACCCAGTCTCAGTCTGGAGGGCAGTCCATGAAGGTTTCATGATGTTGGGCTCCAAGCATCTTTTGCATTTTAATCTTTGCTGATGGCGTTGAGTGTTCTGATTGTGGGGAGCCAGCTGGGATAAGCCAGGGACACGGAGGCTGTAAGCTGGCAAGCTACAGGCCTCCGTGTTAGGGTGAGCAGCTCAAGAGCAGCTTAAAAATTACAGACCAGAGCTACAGCAAGGGTTAAGCCTTACAGCTGACAAGCTGACAGGCTCTGAGGCTTTGGGGAGCAGTGTGGGAAGGTTGCTGACACATCTCTACTGTACCCCTGACTCATCTCCACTGTGACCCAGAAGAAGAGCAGCTAATGTCACAGACAATCTTAAAAGTTACAGAATGGATAGTCATCCTGTTAACGTTTTCTACTTGTTATACTTTGTTCTGTTCCACATCGCAAAGATTGCTTCCAAGGGAACTGTTCCCTGATAGGAGGTCCCAAAATCCCCTGTCAATAAGGGAATTGTTCCCTGCTTAGTAATAAGGGAATTGCTCCCTGATAAGAAAAAATTGTTTCCTATATAACCAGTGTATATCCAATAAATGAGGTCTCGGTTGGCCATCAGCAGTCTGAGTCACTCCTGCTCCCATCTTTTGTCTCTGTCTCTTTCTTTCTTTGTCTCCCAACCAATCCTCCCAGCTGCGCTCCTGGCTGACGAGTCAGGAGTGCTGGTTTGGCGCATGGGTCACATCATCTGATAAAGTTGCTTTGTGGACCACACAATACCAGGCACAAAGTTGCCCATATATCATCTGCTATGGTAACTTTGTTAAGTTTATATCAAATCATCCAGATTCCATTGTAGGGCTTCAGAAAAGGTAGTTTCAGTTCTTAGTGATTCCAAATCAGAAGGGTGGGAAAAATTTGGAAACATTAGTTTGGAGAGTTATGTTCAAATATTGGAAGAAACTGGAAGAATTCAGGATCCAGTCTGATTTGCTGCAGGCTTTTTAATACCTTCAACATGCTCTCAACAACTGCTCATAAAATTTCAAAACAACTTCAAACAGAAATGTCATAAGCACAGCACATAGTGCTTTTCCCCCTATTCTTTAACACCAATTAGTTTGCAGGATGTCCCTCAATTTGGATTTGTTTGATTTTCCCTCATGATAAGATTCAGCTAATGCATATTTGGCAGGAGTTTCTGCAAGTGATTGTCTGCTCTTCTCACTGTATCCTATTAGGTGGTCCAATATTCCAATTTGTCCCATTACTGATGATGCCACTTCAATTCCTGGGTCAAGGTGGTGTCTGTCAGAATTCTCTGCTGTATGGCTGCTCTTTTGCCCTTTGAAGTAAATAAGAATTTTTGGGAAAAGTCCTTAATACTTTATGAATATCTTATTCCTCATCAAAGCATCAGTAAAAAATCATGGGTTCATATTTCCTTCAATGAGTTATCATCATTATTGATTTTGATTCTCAAAATTCTCCAGATTTGGCAAATGAGAGTCCCATTCCAAATGGCTTCTCCATGCCTCATCATTCTTGAGCACTTCTTACTTTCTGGCCCAAATTGTCCAGAGTTATCTTATATTTTCTGTATTCTAGACCTGGATTGAGGCATTTCTTTAAAAATGACTGCTTTGTTTTAGTGGAAAATACTATTTAGAAAACAAGATCTGGGCACTGTCGGTGCTTCTTGGAACTTGAATGTCTTTGGTACCAAGCTAGGGAAAAGTTATTTATTTATTATTTTATTTATTTATTTATTTTTAGCTGAGCCATCCTGCCACCTATTGGCAGCTCAGCGCCAGCTCAGCTTGGGCGCCGATTCCAACAGGCGACCCTGTTGCTCAGAGCTTGCCCTCTTGAGCGAGCTCTTAACCAACTGAGCCACTCGGCCGGCGACAAATTGTGTATCTACCTACACATCATGTATGTATGTATCAACACACACTCTCATATCTAAGACATATATAACTCTGATATCTCCAATTACAATGTTAAACCAGATTATACTACGAATTTCCTTGTCTGTATCTCTAACTGCTTTCTCCCAAGGTGAGAATTTTCTCTCCAATTATCCTTAATACTTGGAATTATATGATCATCTCCCTCATGAATGAAACCAATCTCCTGCTGTTACAGCCAACTACAATCCCCGTGCACATAGCTTCCCTTATACATCCACCCACATACACTGTTCTGTCTCTGATACCCTTGTCAGGCCACTGCCAACAATGCATTCCTGCATGGGTGCCCTCCCAACCATGCCTGGGCTCTGACACCTACACTGAGTGTCCTTTTCTTGCTCTGGCTTTCACACATGAACTGGTCCAATGGTGCCACCACTGCCATGTGGGGATGCCAGACCTCACCTCACTCGAATTTCATGCTGGGTTCCCCCTCTATCACATATGGATACCTTTTCCATACTGTGTGGGCTCTAATACCCTGTGCAAGGCACCCATTCTTACCTTCCTGTGTGGTTTTCTCATCACCCTGATTGGGCCCAAAGCCCTTCATCCATCCACTGAGAACCATGTTCTGTTAGAAAATAGAAAAGCTTTGGTGATGGAGAAATATGCAGAATTAGGGAACACAGAAGTTTCAGGGTTATACATAGCACTTAGTCCAGGGAATCTTTCAGCTTCTGAAGAGGAAAGCTTGGGTTAAGAAGGAAGCGAGGCACAAGTAGAAACCCAAAGAGCTCAGAGAACATATAGCATGTGTGTGGGAAAGGCCTGCAGAGAGGAAAGGTGGCTGACACATTTCAGATGTGGAGGAGAAAAATCCCTGACCATGGCTGGCCTAGATGGAAGTGGTGTGTCAGAGCACTCTGAAGTGGAAAGGAATAGGTCACTAAGCTAGAGATGAGAGGTTAGCAATGACAACACTCAGTCATTTAGCATTTCCTTGACAAATCATGACACTCACTCTTTTTAGTTATTTATTCTTAGGCCTCATTGCTAGTCTGGCTGCCAATATTGTTAATTCACCATACCAAAGATTTTAAGAATTCAACTCAAAAGGAAGTCTCTCTGTCCTCAACAGGGTACACAGGCATCAATGCAAAGAGCTGGCAAAGTTTCTTGCAATTACTTGGGTTGTGTCATATTCAGAATACCCAGTTTTAGATAGAGAAATAGCAAGAGAGGTATGTCCTGACATTTGAACAGAGCAAGAATGCTATACACATAGGACGGTAGAATGATTTTGTGACTGCTGAGGCGAAACACATTTGTTACAGACAAACTTGTGCTGCCCTAGTTGGCCTTGGGCACCTGGTAGACACTGACTGTGCCTTGTTATTGAGACCGATCAGTCCTGCAGCTGTGCCCAACCTGCCACAACCCTTGCTTATTTGCATATGACTGGGTGCAGCCCAGAGTCCAGGACATGTTAATAGTGTGGTCACACCCTGTGTAGGAATCAGTCCCAGGCAGGACAGAGCATGGACATGAAGGTCCCGACTCAGCTTCTCAGCCTCCTGCTGCTGTGGCTCCCAGGTAAGGAAGGAGCACTTGGGGGAGTTACTCTGCCAGTGTGGTCAGTACCACTTAGACTTGCAGGGTAGTTATAAGGCCTGGTAACATCATTAAGAGTATGGATGTGTGTTTTCATGTTTCCACTCTCAGGAGCCAAATGTGACATCCAGATGACCCAGTCTCCATCCTCTCGGTCTGCATCAGTGGGAGACAGAGTCACCATCACTTGCCGGGCCAGTCAGAGCATTAACAATTATTTAAGCTGGTATCAACAGAAACCCGGGACAGCTCCTAAGCTCCTGATCTATTATGCATCCAGTTTGCAAACCGGTGTCCCTTCGAGGTTCAGTGGCCAAGGATCTGGGACAGATTTCACTCTCACCATCAGCAGCCTACAGCCTGAAGATGCTGCAACTTATTACTGTCAACAGTATCAGAGTTACCCTCTCACAGTGTTATAAGCCTGAACATAAACCACGAAGCACACAGCTAAGAGTCGGCCACCCCAGCTGCTCCTCTTCGGTCTCCATCCGCCGAGAGCATTTCTCAGATGCACCCACTCTTTGATGGTGACTGGAGGTTTTGTTAGAAGTGTACAGATAGGCTCCTCTGCACCTTAACTCTTTTTGTCTCTCCTCAGCCTCAGTAGCACATACAATACCTCTCTTGATTTCATAAAAAACAGAGATCATCACACATTAGCTATCTGGGCTACAGTACCAGTCAGAGTTTATAGAGTGAAAGAGAAGCCAATCTAGGCATTCCAAGCAGGAATTGCTTAATTAGGGAGTTAACCTCTAAAGTACATTGTTTTGAAGGCCTAGGGAATTAATAATAGGGGGAGCAGATATTGGAAATGTGGGATTCCCTGGCGCTCCCCCAAAAAAAAAGAAAAAAAGAAAAAAAATGGAGACAGGGGCTGTCTAACTATGTGGTCCCCTGACTTGTCGGGGAGCCCAGGAGTGGGGGTGCTGATGCTCCCAGCTCACTAGTGATACTCCAGTTCTCTACTCTGCCTGCAGGAACTGATGGATAGTATTGAAACCGCCTTTCAGACTCCAAATCTCAGGGACATCCCCTCACTGAGCAACTCTGTGAGAAACCATAGAGGGCAAAGGAGTTCTGAGAAATGTGCTTCCACAAGGAGAGTGATGATGAGGAACTGACAGCAGGCAGCCTGGATGGTCATTCTTTTTACATCTCTCAGAATTTTGCCAGTTACAATACAGTTAGATATGCTTCCAACCATCACTATCAAGTCTGGATTTTATAAGAAGAAATCTTTGTTGAATGATTGAGAAAACAAACAAAAACAAAAATGCGGAGAACATTTTGCATATATAGATATAATTTGACAAAATAAAAAAGCCGTTTTTGATTAAAAAAGCAAAACTTAAATGTGGGTGAAACATTTTTCCTCTTCTATATAAAAATATCTTGCTGTTCATAGTTTTCCTTTGGAGCCATATCATCACTGACATCCCTGGGAGTTTATTACAAATGCGAAACAGCACTTTCCACCTTACCCCTTCTTTAAGGGTCTACATTTTAAGAAGATATCACAGGTATGTATAAGGTTTAAGATGCTCTGATTTAGATGACATTTACCTCTGTTAAATGGGTCTATTTTTTCCATTTCCATTTAGAAACTCGATTGGAATCCATATGTTGAAAACACGTCCAACTTTACTTTCTTTTTTTAAAAAAAGATTTTATTGGGGAATTGGGGGAATGGGAACAGTGCTGGGGAATTGGGGGAAGGGGAACAGACAAGTTGCTGTCATTTTGTTTTTCAGTCTAATTGTGGAGGACGTAGCTTCACTGGCCCAAGTTGGCATCATCATTGCGCTCTTCCCAGGTGAGGCAGATCAGTCGCTGGCTTCTGGATGGCCGCTCACAACGGCTGCTGGCTGCTCACGCTGGCTGCTGGCTACACACGGTAGCCTATGGCAACCCACTGCCACAGGGNTGGCCCAAGTTGGCATCATCATTGCGCTCTTCCCAGGTGAGGCAGATCAGTCGCTGGCTTCTGGATGGCCGCTCACAGCGGCTGCTGGCTGCTCACGCTGGCTGCCAGCCACACACAGTAGCTTATGGCAGCCCACTGTAGCAGGGGCTGCAGCCTACGCCATCGCCAGCGACTCACGGCAGCCCAGCTCCAGGTTGAGCTGTTGTTCAGCATCTTAGCTGTAGAGGGCAGTGTCACTGGCCCTCATATGTGCGATCCAAACAGGGGTCCTCTGGTGTTCCAAGCCAGTTCTTAACCATTGCGCCACTTGGCTGGCCCCCAACTTTACTTTCAATTTAACACAATTAACTCAATTTAACATTGTAAGTATTGAAAAAATATAATTATTTGTAAATGGCATGATGAAATATGTTAAAAATTAAAGAGTCAAGGTTTTTTAAACTTGAAGAATTACAAAGATCTAAGAATAAATCAAAATTATAAGTAATTGTGTTAGAAATAATTGGACTTAACTTGATTATGCAGTTTATTTGGAGGATTTTATTTCTTCCTGAAATTTGCCCTGAATATGATGTGCCATGGGTTCACACCTTCAGTCTTAGCCAAAAAGGAAACAATCCATAGTGGAGACCAGTTCATGTACGTGCAGAAGAACCACACAGCTGAGCACTGTCTGGATCATCCAACATTGTTAACATGAACATCCATGAATATAGAAATGAAGTCTTAGTATTATAAGCCAAGAAACTTTTGAGTGGTTCCTTACAAACCATTATTTTGTAAAATCTGACTAATACAATATTTAAATATCTACACATAAAGATAGACAGATTTCACTTAAACTTATGACACAAAATAATCCATTCATAAGGAGACACAAAAACATAAAAGAAATGTTTTAATATTTGAATAAAAAGAATAAAGTTTGCATCATTTATGTAAACTCTAATGGTATTCATATATAGCAGTATTTCTAGTAATAATAATAATGATAATTTTATACATCATATAAACTTATTAAAAATAATTACATCCAAATTTTATAAATAAAATTATTTGTAGGAAAATGTGCATACATATGCATATGTATATATGATATAAATATATATATATATATATGGATATATATTTTTTGGTGTCTAATGTGATCATTTTATGAATGAAAATGGGTTAATATGATTCCAGTTATTCCCCATCAAAAATTGGTGTCCAAGACCAGATGTAGTAGCTTATCTGGCTTGAGGCATTTTCTTTTTCTTTTTTTTTTTTTACCAGATCACGGGTTTATTATAAGAGGATAGAACTCAAGAACAGATGGGAGAGATGCACAAAGCAAGGTGGGGAAGGGGCACAGAGCTCCCATGCCCTCTCTGGGGGGGGGTCACTCTCCCCGAATGTCCACATGCCCATCAACCTGGAAGCGCTCCGAACCCCATCCTTTGAGGTTTTATGGAGGCCTCATTACAGAGGCAGGAGTGAAGAAATCATTGGCCACTGGCAATTGATTCAACCTCCAGCCCCTCCCCCACACAGAGGTTGGCAGTGGTACTGAAAGCTGGTTCCCCCTGGCACCCAGCCCCCATCCTGAGGTGCTTCCCAGAGGCCACCTCATTAACATGAACTCAGGTGTGGTTGAAAAGGGCTTGTTATGAATAACAACATTTCTTTCATCTTTATGGTTCTGGTTTCAGGAACCAGCTACAAAAGACCAAACGAAAGACCAAGCACAGTAACTGAGGCTTTTTTCATTCCCAACGTTCCAAATTTCCCTTTGGTCTTATTTTTTCTTTTGCCTGAAGAATGTCCTTTAAAGCAGGTTTGTTGGCTACCAGTTCCCTTAGTTTTTCTTCATCTGACAATGTCTTTATTCCACCTCTAACCTGAGGGGCATTTCACTGGGTATAGAATTCTGAGCTGACACCTGCTTTGGTTTAAATGTGCCAGCCACATCCTTCCGGCCTCCATAGTTTCTTGAACAACAAAATTCACTGTCATTTGAAATGTTCCCATTCAGGTAACCTTTCGTTTTTCTCTAGCTACTTTCAAGATGCCCTTAGTTTTCAACAGTTTATGATGTGTCTGGGCTTGGATGTCTTTGGGTTCACTCAGCTTACTTGGGGGGTTTTCAGCCATCATTTCTGCAGATGTTTTTAAAGCAACACACTCTTTCTCCTTCTGTGTCCCTGAAACTCATCTCAGTCTTTTTTTTCTCTGTTCAGATTGGATGATTGCATCAATCTGTATCTTTCTTTTGTCGTCTCCATTCTTTTATGGCGTCTCACCAGTGGGGTTTTTCTTATTTCACAGTGTTTGCAGTTGTCTTATTTTCATTTGGTTCTATTGTCCTTTTGCTGACAATCTCTACTTTTGCACTTATTCCAAGTGCTGTGAGAGTCCCTGAGAACTTAACAGCCCCTCTCGGTCTATAACGACACCGCTGATGGCCTGTTTACAGTAAAGATGTTTTTGTGGTTCTTCACATGCTGAGTAATTGGTGTCCTAGGCGCCTTGAGTATGATGTGAAGAGATGCAAGTGAACCTCAGGGAGAATGTTGAAATTTTTGCTCCAGCAAGTAATTGATCTGGTTAGGCTCTGGCCAGTTCTGTGGGTGCTGGCTCTGGTGTCAGCTCAGCCTTCAGTGCCTTTGCGGCACTCTTTGGATCTGTCCCACGTCTACTTTCTGTGGGCAGCCTGTCAGCTCATGTGTGTGGTATGATAATTAGATCAGCTCCACAGGTGAGCTGCACAGGGCTGAACTGTGGAGTTACTGCCTGAAGCGCTCTCTCCAGCATTCCCTGAGTCCCAGGACACCCTGTTTTAGTCCTCCAGCCCAAAAGCGCGCACTTCGGTATCTGAACCATGTCCTTTGCAGAGAAAGAAGGTAATCCAGCCTCATTCTCCTGGTGAAGTTCTCCTCCTCAGACGGAGGCTCCCATGCTCCCATGGGCAGCCATGGCACCCTGGGGGCTGCAGCACCAATGTGGAGAAAGGGGGGCAGCTCCCACTCCCCCAGGATCTCAGTACCGCTGAGCTCACTTCTGCTGCTGGGAGCTTTGTTGTATTCAGGCTGGGAGATAAGAGAGGAATTAAAAGTGCGACTCGCCAAGAGTAGCACTGAGAATTCTGGCGTTCCTGGCCAAGCTGCCGGGTGCCGGCCTCAGCTCTCGGACAGCTGTGCCGTACATCCCACCAGGTTTCAGAGCTGTGATCAGTGAGAACGGAAGGGGCTGTGCCTTACCTCCATCCCACCTGGAACGCAAACCTTCCCTGAGATACTAAGTGAAAAAATATAGAATGCAGATAGCGTTATTCCATATTTCTACAAAAAAAAAGGGTATATGTACCTCCATAGTAAGTACTTAGGACAAAGCTCTGGAAGTTTCTACATGACTCTACACTGGTTTCCTCCAAGAAGGGGTACGGAATTTTGCTGAAGCAGTGTGACTGAAGGGACTTTCATTTTTTACTCTATACTTCTTTTTATTTTAAGTTATTTTAACCATGTACTAGTACTTTTGTAATATTTAAAAAACAATAGGAAGGTATGAGGGAAAAGACTGGGAAAATTTATAGAACTTATGGAAAAAATACTGAGTGTGAAGCAGCTATAGCCATTTAAAGGCATTTGGTGTCAATATCTTAAAGGATTGATTAAGATGCTTTAAAACAAAATCCTTGTAAGAATATCAAAGATTTAGGAAATTATCTTCATAAATAACCAAGTGTCTGTGGTTTCAACTGTCAGTCACCTTGCTGCTGAGGAAGGTGATGAGGGTTCATCCAAACAGCAACCTTTAGGGAACTCCTTAAGAAAAACCCTGCATAATCAGTTGGTTTCTTTAGACCTGTGTCCAGTTTCTTTCGATGATTTTTGTTTGTTCTTGCATTTAGACTTCTTAAAGGAGGCT